GAAAAACAAAATCAGCTGATTTCTCAAAAACCCCATTTTTTCCCGAACTATCTTTTTGTTAGCATGGAACCCATATGTGTCTGATTCATTTTGTCAACAATCATTTCGTCGAAAATTATTTCGTCACAAAAAAAACTTCATTAAACAAATTTCTCCTCACACTTCCCACACACACCGCTTTCCTTACCTAATTTCTTAACTAACTTCCCACACTCCTCACATCTAACTTGTTCGGTCTCTGGCTCGAGGATGAAATAATTTTCAATGAAATGAACATTCGACAAAATGAACTTTCGATGAAACAAACTTTTGATGAAATGTGTGTTGATGAAATGATTGTCAACAAAATAATTTTCGACGAAGTAAACACGACTGGGGGGTTTGGGTACATTTTATTACTTTTAAATCTTCAAAGAATGCTGAAATTCTTTTATTGTTGAATCACAATAAATAGATCATTAAAGCTTGGTGATAATGAAGTTGTTCTTTACATATGTGCTGATTTTGTTTGAACCCCAAAATCCAGTATGGTATGATCATAACGTTATGAATACTTTATACTAGCAAAAACCCATTGGTTTTGAGGTGGGGCCATTGGTTTGACGGGTTGTTGAATAGTAAAATAGTTTTTTTAGCGGAGCAAATATTTTTTTTAAGGTTAATTATCATTCTACTGAACAGTTTACACATTAAAAATACTTGTGTTTAACATCAAGACATAATAAGACATAAGGTTTGAAAAAAGGCCCAAAAAAACCAAATCGGCTGATATGAAATAATGCAATTTTTGTTTTCCAATTTACATCCTTTATCAATTAATCCTGTTAGAAAAAAAGCTTATAAGGCAATCAAATAATAATAAAAAATGTACAAAAAATTGTTTGTTACAGATCATTCAGTTCTCCACAAAAAAAAAACAAGGTTAATTGACGATCCGTGAATAAACCAGTGAAAATTGGTAGGATCGGCAGGGCAAAAATGGTAAAAAATCGTCAATTGACAATGTTTAACAAATAATAAAGCATTATATTTTTGTATTACAAATCTTGCTCTTTTTATGTATGTGTAAGGTAAATCTCATAGAATAATATGTCAAAATATTAAAGGGATTGGATTGTTCTTCAAAAACTTTTGTATGCTTGTCACTGAGATTTCAAGAAGTCAATAACATATAAAAATTCGGAATTTTTTAACTTTCAGCCAACACTATAAAGTTTTCTGACCAAAATTATACTTTTTTTTTATCGGTTTATCAACAAAAAAAAAATTTTATTTTAATGAAACCTATCAAATGAACTTATATGTTGTTATAGTAAAATTAAAAAATAACTGAAAAAGAGTTTTAAAGAAGTATTTAACAATTTCTAAGGTTGTTTTCTGTATTTTTTGTATGGACATGAGAATTAACTAGTGAGGACAGTGAGATTTGGGAAATTTCTTATTTTATTAGTAATAATTGGTGACAAAATTTCATAACAAAATGATCAACATCTCACTGATTCATTCACGGATTGTCAATTAAGTTCCAAAGTTCTTAATGAAATTTTATTTTTAAAAAGAAAGTTTGTTTATGATAATTAAATAATATATAATATATATAAACTGTTACAACACCCAAAACTATTATCATAGGAAAATAAAATGATTTAAATGAAACCAGTTTAACAAATAAAATTTTTTTTTACTGGTTGACTGAAAATTTTACAATTAAATCCCTGTAATTGGCCTGAACTATAAGATAGACAAAATATATCATGTTGATATCTAAATAAATAGTGATTGATCATGTCATTAAAACAAAAATAATGTTTTCTCACAATAATAAAAACTGATGTAAAATTCCAATAATCAAATGAGTGAAATTTATTTGTAGGTCTAAATTTCTAAATCCATTTGG